GCTCCAGGCTCTGAGCCATCAGCCCAGAGCCCGACGCGGGGCTCGAACTCACGGACCGCGAGATCGTGACCTGGCTGAAGTCGGACGCTTAACCGACTGCGCCACCCAGGCGCCCCACAGAAGACTTTTTAATAGACTTATTTTTCTGAATTTATTTTCCTTTGTTTATTTTTTCATATTTTTAGAATATTGATTTTTTATCATATGAGAGATACATGTTTATTATAGAAAATAAAAAAAATACAATGAAAAATTAGAATAGTCCTACCTTTCAGTAATAACTATTCTTAAAATAGGAGTGTGTGGGTATTTTTGCCAGTGTTTTCTTTGCATATATGCAGGTGTGTGTGTGTGTGTGTGTGTGTTCACGTCACATGCCTTTTCACAAAATTAGAAAATTCTGTATTTATAGTTTTATATCATGTATTCAAAAATTATCATCTTTCACTTATTATAAGTAATACAAATTCATTGTAAAAATATTTAAATATGATTAAACTAATTGAAATAAGAATTAACAAAATATTAAAGGGCGCCTGGGTCAGTTAAACATCCAACTTTGACTCAGGTCATGATCTCATGGGTCATGGGTTCAAGCCCCACATTGTGCTCTGTGCTGACTCAGAGCCCAGAGCCTGCTTCAGATTCTGTGTCTCCCTCTTTCTCTGCCCTTCCTCAGCTTGTGCTCTATCTCTCTCCCTCTTCCTCAAAAATAAAGAAACATTAAAAAAATAAGTAAAACTAAACAAAATGAAGAAAAATAGAAGTTTCCTGTAATTCCGTCCAGAAATAACAATGTCAGTGTTTTGGTATTAAATAACATCATTCTTTTTGTTTCTTTTTCCTCTATGAAAAGGTACACTTCTTTTACTTTTACAAAATTGAGATCACACTGTACCTACATAGTAGGTTTTGTCACCTTCATTTAATTTACTTTCCAATTTTTTGTGAATATTTTCTTTGTTATCAATTCTTCTTCATTTTTATAGTATTTATTGTAGGAAGAGGTCCTAAGTGATTTATTGAGTCCTTCATTGTTAAGCATATAGGTTATTTCCATTTATTTTTCAATTATAAACAACACTGTAGTGGCCATCTATCCACACTTGTTTCCTAGAATGCATTGTTAGAGGTACAGTTGCTCATCACAGCATATATGATGTGAATATATCATTTGTGCCTTTTTAAAATAAGAAAAAATATTTAAGTGATCTTGAGAAAGGTATTCTCAATAAAATTTTGAGGAATGAAAATGAATCTGTGGCCTTTTTTTTTCTGTAGAAGAGTCCAATGAAGTTCCAAATGGGGCAAGGGTTCATAAGGAGGAGGACCACCACGCAGTATCCGCAGATAATGTGGTATGTACATTTTGAAATTCTTTCCTCATGATGGATTCTTTCCCACATGATGGATTTCAAGGATATGTTTCCCTTTGGTAATGATACTGGTGTTAGCAGAATAAAATCTTGCTCCACTTCACAAGCCAAAACAGAGCTGTCACCAATGAATTTATATATCTTTGAGAATTTAAGAAATGAAACTTAAAGCACTGTCATTTGTGCCTCAAATTTTTTGATTGAAGAGATTTGTAGGGTGCCTGGGTGGCTCGGTTAAGCATCCAACTTTGACTCAGGTCATGATCTCACAGTTGGTGAGTTCAAGCCCCACTTTGGGCTCTGTGCTGATGGTTCTGAGCTTGGAGCCTGCTTCAGATTCTGTGTCTCCCTCTCTCTCTGAATTTCCCACACTCGTGCTCTGTCTCTCCTTCAAAAATAAATAAGCATTATTTTTTTTTTAAAAAAAAGAAGAGATTTGCACATATAAAAATCTGATGCTTACTACACATAGACATTTTATACATGTTACTTTTCTTTAACACATTCAGCAAAAAGCAGATTTCTTCTCATTTAACAGGTGGAAGAAATAAAACTGAGGTTAGCCTGAAACCATGAAGGAATCCCTTGTTAGTTCTGGGTCTTGTATCCAAGGATTCCTGATTCAGAGTTGTCTGTTCAGACCACCACACCTATCTCTACTATGTTTGGAAACTTACCTTCTTTCTAGTTGTATTAGACTCTTTTAGTCTTCTTAAAAATTGCTCTAATGAGAGAAGGACGATATTAAAAGATTCGGTAACAGGCAGAGACAGACTGTATGCAGATTAAACTGGGCTTTGTGAAAATGTAAACATTATTGATATATAGAAATGTTCTCCAAACAGCTGTTTTAGCAGCATCTGTTTATATTTTGACTCCATCAAGTAATACAGAAATCAAGATAATATTAAAGTCAAAGCCAAAAGCAAATGCCATTTTGCTTTTGTTTTTTTCTTTTGAATTAGTAATTTTTGCTTGATTGAAATCTTTAAAAAATGGTCCCTATAATGGATTTTTGTGTTACAAAATGGGTGTAGTTTCATGACTTAGCCAGGCTTCCATTGCGAAAATTATTTATGACACTCTGATTCTTCTATATCTCCTTAATAAAAGTTGACACATAAAATACAATTTTGCTCTTTTTTGTTAAATTCAACAATATATAACAGTGTTTTCCACGTGCAGAATATAGTTTAGGATTACATTTTATTTATCTCAGTCCTGATTTAAGTTGATGTTTGACCCTAGTAACACAACTCAATAGACTATAGGAAAACAAGCTTTGATTTTGATGCAAAGCCATGTTTTCTTTAGATAGCTAGTAATAATTATTTTCCACAATATTAATCGTGTTAACATACATTCCATGAAGTAATAATATCCTCTGCTCTATATTTGAGTTGTACTGTACAAGCTATATACAATTATTTACAAATTAAAACCTTTTGCCCTAAACACATGTTCATTTTTAGTCTGAATTTCTCTGCATTGGATCTCCCCTCAGCAGACATTTGGAAATAATAAATGAAGTAATAGCATGGGATGACCGAAGTCACTTAGGGAACTAATTTTTGAAAAACAATTGATTTTTATAGATAAATTTTGACAAAGCACAAAGACATATAAGACTTATTTATATGCACATATATATCCAGTGATTCTTGGTGCCTTCTTCCCTGGATTACTTATCTTTTTTTCCCCCAAACCAATACAAATACAGAATCTAAAAAAAAATTTGGAAAGTGTAAAATCAGGTCTGATGAAAACTGATATGATTAAACACCAAGTTTATAATTATTTTAATTAAAAACAAAATAGATTCATCTCTAATCGGCAGCAGAAAGCAGTTTTCATTGCAACTGTCCTCCTGACTAGTAGGTCACAAACCCTGCTATGGTTACATATCCTTATAGGCAAAGTATTAAGGATGGTCATTCAGGGTATGTTCTCCACTTTTTAAAAATTGTTATTCAAATTCCAATTAGTAAACACACACTGAAATATTAGTTTCAGGTGTACAATATAGTGAATCAACACTTCCATACAACACCTGGTGCTTAAAAATTTAGAGCTGATCTTGTCTTTTGGTTTTGATTTAAAAAAATAATGTTCCATGATTAGAGAACTTTCCTTGCTCTCATGGTTGGAGCTTATTGGTCATTACTCACATCAGCAGTTAGCTGTTCACTCTTTTGAATAGATATTTAATTAGTACCTACTATGTGCAAAATACTGGACAGACTATGTTGAACCTTAATTCTAAAGATAATGGAAGTTTAACCTCTCTCTCTCTCTCTCCCTCTCTCTCTCTCCTTACTGTCCAGTGAAGGAAGAAAACCGCCAGGTTATTTTTATTATCACATCATAATTGTCTAGCTAATGGAGTGCATTTAATAAATTAATTTTTTAGGGGTGCCTGGGTGGCTCAGTCGGTTGAGCGTCCGACTTCGGCTCAGGTCATGATCTCACCGCTTGTGACTTCGAGCGCTGAGTCAGGCTCTGTGCTGACAGCTCAGAGCCTGGAGCCTGCTTCAGATTCTGTGTCCCACTCTCTCTCTGCCCCTCCCTCGCTCATGCTCTGTCTCTCTCTCTCAAGAATAAATAAAACATTAAAAGTTTTTAATAAAAAATAAATAAATAAAATTTTTAAAGCTGTATTTGACTTTGGAATGCATGTCACATGTTGATATTTTACATTAGAAGTTAGTTGTGAAGAAGTACATGGTAATTTAAAAAAAAAGCCCTTGCAACAAAGTAGGTATGGTTAGCATTAGACTACTCTTATGGGAAGTGAGCTTCCTGTCACTGTAGGGCTCTGTTTAAGCAGAATTCAAGTGCTTATTTTTTTTCCTTTTATATTGTGAAAAGTTTAAAGTTTATTTTTAAGCTTCTTATTTGAGAGAGAGAGAGTGAAAGTGTGAAGGGGTGGGGAAGGGCAGAGAGAGAGGGAGAGAGAGAATTCCAAGCAGGCTCTGGACTGCCAGTACAGAGCCTTAGGCAGGGTTTGATCTCATGAACTGGTGAGATCATGACCTGAGCTAAAATTGAGTTGGACACTTAACCCACTGAGCGACCCAGGGGCCCTGAGGTTTTGCTATTTTAAATAGTATTACAATAATTTTCTATTTACTTAAAAAAAATTAATGTTTATTTTTGGGGGAGAGAGAGGCAGAGCGTGAGTGGGGAAGGAGCAGAAAGACAGGGGTATAGAATCCAAAGCAGGCTCCTGGCTTTAAGCTGTCAGCACAGAGCATGTCGTGGGGCTTGAACCCACCAACCTTGAGATCATGACCTGAGCCAAAATCAGACACTTAACCAACTGAGCCACCCAAGCATCCCAATAATTTTCTATTTACTAAGCAGTTATCAATTAAAGGTAGAGGAAGGTGGCTCAAACACACACTGGTTATAACACTGAAGAGCCAGTCAGTTATCAGTTTATTGTGGATAATCTAGACTAGATGATCTCATCATAAAAAGTAAACATTGAATGTATATGTTCTATACATTGTTGAGTGTAGTGATGATAATCAGATATATATTTATTGAAACTTCTCTACTTCTGTTACAGAAAATAGAAATTATTGATGATGAAGAAAGTGACATGATAAGTAATTGTGAAGTTGAACAAGTGAATTCTCTCTTGGATTATAAGGTGAAAGTAATTTCAAATTCTTAATTCATTAAGAGAAGGTACTAATTGAAGCAGACTTTTACAGTACTTATGTACTAGTTTATTTCACTTTTACTTTCATTTGATAAGTTAAACTGGGGCTCCACATTGACTTTCTCAGGCACTTAGATATCAGTCAAGATGTTGGCCATTTTAATGCTGGCTAGTTTAGTGGTTGTGGTTTTAAGCAAAGAGCTTGCTGAGTGGGAGTAGGTGTTGATAGTGTATACCAAGGTGAGGCTGTGCACAGTGTTGGTTAATTTATGTTAGTTGGTTAATTTATGACAGTGGATTAAAAGGTAATGTTTATTTTTAAATGGTGGCAAAGGGGAGTTTTTTTTCCAGTGGCATTTGCTAATTTTATCTTGGAATTCAACTTTTGAAGACCATTTGTAGGAAACTTGTTTGAGAAGTTTAAAAACAATTTGCAGAACAAATACCAAATGAATATAAATAGAGATGACATTTTCTTAAAACCACTTGTACCTAAACTATAAGGCTTATGTTGTGAGTGTGCCATACATAATTTTATTTTATTAAATTTTGACATGAGATATCTGTCTATATGTCAATATGTTTTCTGCATAGATATATAATTATTACCACTTTGTTAATCAATACTGTATCTTACTAGGTAACTTTGTGGCTTTCCAAATTTTGGCCAATCTTTCTATCCATATACAAAAGTTCTTTTCTTGAAATATCATAAGTGACAAAGCAGAGATTAATCATCCTAAGCTGTTAATAGAAAAAAATAATCAGAAAAGAATACTTTTCATTTTTTCAGAGTCTTTTTGGTTTTACTATAATTGAAATTATGTACTTCAACAGATTATTTCCTAAATGTTTATAACATGTCAGACTTTATAATATTGAACATTATAAACATAGGAGAAAATTATCTTTTGAAATTTATTTGTTAAGTGGTCAAAATGCACACTATAATCCAGTATTTAAGCTGTATTTCCAACTAATAAAATTATAAAATTGTATTTCTGAACTACAAGAGATCATTCTTATCTTTCCTCCATAGTCATAAAGTATTTCTAAATGCCCAGTTAGGTTTAAAGAGCTCTGTACCATGTGGCACAAGGTATGAAAATTACAAAGAGGACCGGATTGCATGGCTGCTAAGTAATCTCCACTTAGTACTCTCAAACAGGTCAAATGGAGTTGGACTAAAAACAGAGGATACTCTCCAGAACCTTTCCCTTCTGGAGTGCCACTTGAGAAGGTTTTGAGCTAAAACAAGGGTAGGGTAGAATGTTATACCCAGAAATGCTAATTACATTTTTATTGCACTCTATAGGACATTTAATGATTCAATGTTTTCCATTGCGGTAAATGCTGTGGGAATAGGAGTCCTTAACTATCTTGTTAAGAATGTCTTTGACAACACATTAATATCCTACATAAATGTCTTTCCTTTAACTCTAAAAAATTAACACCTATATAGAAAATATATCTTTCCATAATCATTTTTTTTTATTTTTAAGGTTTATTTTTGAGAGAGAGAGAGAGAGAGAGAGAGGCAGAGTGCTAGTGGGGAAGGGCAGAGAGAGAGGGAGACACAGAACCTGAAGCAGGCTCCAGGCTCTGAGCTGTCAGCACAGAGCCTGCTACAGGGCTCAAACTCACAAACCATGCAATCATGACCTGAGTTGACGTCAGATGCTTAACCAACTGAGCCACCTAGGTGCCCCTTTTCATAACCATTATTGAAATACTTCACTTCATTTGTGATTTCTTACCTTAATTCAAAAGCAAGGGTAAATTAGGAAAGGAAAGAAGATGGAAGACTAGAAGAATCCTGAGTTCACCTATTCCCACAGAAATACCTAGGCAATATTATACATCTATTCAACTAACTGTTACTAATCACTACCAGAAGAGATGTTGCACAGCTAGTCTTAAGAAGCCACATATAAAGGGTAAGAGGCAGAGATGCAGTTGGGAACCAACTCCCTGTGTGAGTAAATACAAACAAGAGGGACATCACAGTCATGGAGAAGTGACTCAGACTCCTCAAAGGGCACTGCTGGCACTGGGGACACCACAGGGAAGAAAAGTCCCCATAATGTTTGGCTTTGGAAACCAGCAGGCATTAACTCTGGGAACTTTAAAAATCAGTAAGCTTAATGCCATGAAAGCTGAAGGTTGATAGGAAACCGAGTACTTATCCTTAAAGAGACAGTATACTAAGTAAATGGGTCCAAGACACAGCACAGAAAACAGCAGTTTGAAAAGTGCCTGAAGTATACATGAAAGGCATTTATTGTTTAATCTTAGAACATGTACTGGAAGGAAAGGGATCTTCATATTTCTTCAAGAATGAAAGTTTAACAATGTCAAAAATTTCTTGGCTTTTCCCAGAGTAAAGAGCCAGAGGCCTACAAGAGCCATTTCTAACACTCTCCATCTTCCTTGCCAGCAACAACTGCTTCACCAAGTAATTCCTCTGAGGACCAACCACACCCAAAACACCTGCCATGATAGGCACAGCTTCCAAAGCTGTTCCTGACCAACTACACCTGGTTTACAGCTTTGGCACAGACCAGCACCAAAACAAAGTGACTCCACTCATATGGAGGGAGTAACAAACCAACACACCAGGCACCCACAATTACTGTAGCCAGACCCCTTAGCTGCATGTATAAGGAAGGGACTGAGCCCTGAACTTCCGTGTATGTGCAGTCTTGGCAGAGAGGTTAATAGCACACTGTTAGAATGAGTAATGGCCTCGCCCACCAACCAGTACTACTTGGCCTCAACCAGGATACTCAAAGTTGTGCTCACAGAAGGCAAAGTGGGCCATAGAAGCTATCTGGGATGAAGGCAACTATGCTCAGCCACAACAAGAAGTGCCTGCAACCCACACAGGGGATACCCCTGGGGCACCTGGTTCTGGTGACATGGGAGAATTGAATTATAGGGCACCACAGGACCTCTTATACACAAGGCCACTACTTGAATGACCAGAAGATATAGCTGCTCTACCTAATACATAGAAACACACACACAGAGTTGGATGAAATGAGAAGTCAGAGGAATATGTCCCAAATGAAAGAACAAGACAATCACAGTAAAGAGCTAAATGAAGCAAAGATAAGAAATATGCCTGATAAAGAGTTCAAAGTAATGGTCATAAAGATACTGAAAAGACTTGAGAAAAAAGAGTGGATAAACCCAGTGAGAATGTCCACAGAGTATTAAAGAATATAAACAAGAATGAATCATAGCTGAAGAATTCAATGACTGACATGAAAAATACAGTAGAGGGAATCAATAGCAGATTAAAGAATGCAGAAAAATGGATCAGCAATCTGGAAGACAGGGTAATGGAAAGTGACTAATCTGAAGAGCAAAAAGAAAAAGAATAATAAAAGGAGAATAAGTTAAGAAACTATGCAACACCATCAAGCATAACATTCACATTATAGAATTCCCAGAAGGAGAAGAGAGAGAGAAAGGGAAATGAAAATTATTTGAAAAAAAAAAAAACAAAACAAAACAATAGCAGGACACTTCTCTAACCTGGGGAAGGAAACAGAGATCCAGGTCCAAGAAGTAAGTAGAGCCCCTAACAAGATGAACCCAAGGAGGTCCACACCAAGACACATAATAATTAAACTGTCAAAATGTAATATTGAAGAAAGAATTTAAAAGCAGCAAAAGAAAATAGTTACAAACAAGGGAAACCCCAAAGGGCTATCAGGTAATTTTTCAGCAGAAACATTGCAGGCCAGAAGGGATTGGCATGATATATTCAAGGAGATAAAAGGGAGAAAAAAAAACTACAACAAAGAATACCCTACCCAGGAAGGTTATCATTCAGAATTGAAGGGAAGAGGAAGAGTTTCCCAGACACCACCCCCTACAAAGAAGAATGTTAAAGGAATTCATCGCCAGTAAACCAACTTCACAAGTAATGATAAAGGGACTTTTTTTGAGCAGAAAGAAAAGGCAATGACTTGAAGAAAGGAAATTAAGCAAAGAAATAATTTCCAGGTTAAAGCAAACATAGAGTGAAAGTTAGTCTATTAGTCACTTATAAACTTCATAAAGCCAGTAAGGAGGTTAAAACATAAAAGTAGTAAAATCAAATGTGGCTATAAAAGGGATACACAAAATAGGAAGATGTAAAATATAACATTATGTACATAAAATGGATGCGGGAGTAACAAGGTAGTGCTTTTAGAATGTATTGAAACTAAAGTGACCATCAACTTAATGTAGACTGCTATTCACATAAAATGTAACATATGAATGCAATGGTATGCACAAATCAATAAATTACTATAGATATACAAAACAATAAAGAGAACAGAAACTAAACATAACACTAAAGTAAGCCATCAAAACACAAGGGAAATAAACAAGAAAAGAAAAGAACAGAGAATAACTATAAGAACAACCAGAAAACGATTTTTAAAAAGGCAATAAGTACATACCCATTAATAACTATTTTAAAGGTAAATGGGCCAAATGCTCCAATCAAAACACAGGGTGACTGAATGCATAAAAATGCAAGACCCATCTATATGCTACCTATAAGACACTTCAAAACTAAGACACATGCAGATTGAAAGTGAAGGGATGGAAGAATATTTACCATGCCAATGGAAGCCAAAAGAAAGCTGGGTAGTAATACTTATATCAGACAAAATAGGCTTTAAAGCAAACTGTAATAAGAGCCAAAGAAGGACACCACATGATGATAAAGGAGACAGTCCAAGAAGAGAATAGAATGATTGTATATATTTATGCACCCAATATAGAGGCACCAAAATATATAAAGCAAATATTAAGAGACATAAGGGGAGAAATTTACAGTGATGCAACAATAGCAGGGAACTTTAAGACCCCACTTACATCAATGGATAGATCATCCAGACAGAAAATCAACAAGGAAACTATGGCTTTGAATGGCACATTACTCCAGATGGACCTAATTGTTATTTCCAGAACATTCTATCAAAAAA